ATGGGGTTATTCCTCCCCAGCTGCAGGACCCTACACTTGCCTTTGTTGAACCTCATTAGGTTCCTCTCCATCCAACTCTCCAGACTGTCCAGATCTAGCTGAATGGCAGTACGGCCTTCCGCTGTATCTGCCACTCCTCCCAGTTTTGTGTGATAAGCAAACTTACGGAGGGTACACTCTGTCCCTTCATCCAGGTCATTGGTGAATATGTTGAAGACTGGACCCAGTACTGCGGTAGAGGAAACACCACTGGCCACAGGCCTCCAGCTGAACTCTGCGCTGCTGATCACAACCCTCTGAGCTTCATCCTTCACCAGTTCTCAATCCACCTTACTGTCCCCTCATCTAACCCACACTTTCCTAAGCTTACCTGTGAGGATGTTGTGATGGGAGACAGTGTGAAAAGCCTTGCTGAAGTCGAGGTAGACAACATCCACTGTTCTCCCCTCGTCCACCCAGCCAGTCATGCCATCACAGAAGGCCATCAGATTGGTCAAGCGTGATTTCCCTTGGTGAACCCATGCAGACTACTCCTGATAACCTTTTCCTCCACATACTTGAAAATGACATCCAGAGTGAGCTGTTTCATCACTTTCCAGGGATGGAGGTGAGGCTGACTGGCCTGTAGTTTCCTGGATCCTCCTTGTTGCCCTTTTTTGGAATGACATTGGCTTTCCTCTAGTCCTCAGGCACCTCTCCTGTCCTCCATGACCTTTCAAAGATGATGGAAAGCGGCTTAGCAATAACATCTTCCAGCTCCCTCAGCACTCATGGGTACATCCCATTGGGGCCCATGGATTTATAGGTGTCCAGTTTTCCTAAATGATCTCGCACCCAATCCCATGGATTTATAGGTGTCCAGTTTGCCTAAATGATCTCCAACTCAATCCTCCTCGACCAAGGGGAAGTCTTTCTATTCTTCAGACTTCCTCTCCTACCTCCAAAGTCTGGGATTCCTGAGGACCAGCCTTGACAGTAAAGACTGAGGCAAAGAAGGCATTCAGTAACTCCGACTTCTCTGTATCTTCCGTCACCAGGGTACCCACCTCATTCAGCAGCAGGCTCACATTTTCCCTAGACTTTCTTTTGCTACCCTCAAGTCCTTTAGTTTAAAGCCCGCCTCACCAAGTTGGCCAGCCTGCTGCCAAAGATGCCCTTGCCTGTTCTAGACAGGTGGATTCCATCCCTTCCTAGTAGGTTATAGTCATCAAAGAATGTCCTGTTGTCGTAAAAGCCAAAACCCTCATGGCAGCATCAGCCATGTAACCAGAAGTTATTTGTCTATTTCTATCTGCCCCCATTCCTGCAACTGGTAAAATGGAGGAAAAGATAACTTGGGCTCCAGTATTTTTCACATGCACCCCCAAGGGCTTTGTAGTCTTCCTTGATTCTGCCCAGGTTCTGGCTTGCAGTGTCTTTCATGCCCACATGAAAGAGTAACAGTGGATAATAGTCTGTGCTCTTGACAAGTTGTGGCACCCTCTCGGCAACATAGCCAATATCGTAGCTCCCAGAAGGCAGCATACCTATCGTGACTCGATGCCCTTTAGCAGAGTCAGCCACTACGAGCACTCATCATTTCATTTTATGGTATCCACTGTGTGCTGCTCGTACAGTTTCTCTGTGCAGACCTTGCTCCTGCATGTCTATATGCGTTAAAGCTTCGTATCTGTTTTTTTGTTGTGATGCTGGAGGGTGGAGACTGAAGCAAAGTCCTGCTTTTGTGGATCGCCAGGGTCCAAGGTGACATCCACTACAGGAACATGGTTATGAAACCACCTATCTCCATCTCAGCTTGTCTAATGCTCTGCAGCCTGTTGACTGTTTCCTGTATCTTTGCCATCTGACATAACAGATCCTCAACCTGTGCACACCTTATGCAGGGAATTACCTTTTCACTGGGAGAAGGGTCTGGGCACTCTCTGCAACCTACCGCCTGTACTGAAGTCTCCCTCTTTACAAGTTTCATCTGGGTGGAAACATCAGACATCACAGGGCCTTTCTCTGTAGGAGCACTGGCTTTAATTCTGCGGCGAGTGTCCACCATTTTGGCTGAGACCTAGAGCACTTCCCTGAGCTGTGGACCAATAAGCAGGGTGCGGGGCTCTCACATGTGAACTGCTGCACCCTGGTCACGGCGCTTCTGGTCGCTGGCGCTCCCCAGGGCCGTTTAAATCTCCCATAGTTGCTCCTATAGCTGCCCTAGCCACATCAACCACACTCACAAGAGCTGCTGGCTCCTGGCGCGGCTCTCTGCTCTTCCTCGGGTGTCCCTGGCTTCAGTTCTGGTTTCTCCAGTTCTTTCAAATCCATTATTTTTTTCCAATGGTTTATTGTCCATGAAAACTTCTGTGTCTACCAACGTGCTGAGAAGGAAAGAGCAGAAGTGCCACTCTTGAGGTCCAGCAATTTATTTTCAAAGATGACTGCCTTTATGCCAAGGAAATCAGTAGATAGCATTCACCCTAAACATACAGTATCTTCATCACATTAAAGTATTTTTCTGTGATCGTGTGTAAATAATTAACAATTATATATAAATTAACAGTATATCTTTCTGAGTCTTTTAGAGATATTGCTGCCTATTGTTTACAGGCTTGCACAATAGTTCAAATAAACTTACAGCACTTTCTAAGTAGTATTTTAAAGTTTAACCACACTATAAAACCTCACAGCTTTGACTTGAATCTGTGGAAGGTCTTGGGTCACATACTTTACTTTAAAGTACATATACCTAAAATGTAAGTCTTCAGGTTCTTCACTCAGTTATTAATTCTTTTAATCAGTAAATTTTCTATAGCTATATAAAAATACTTGCTTCAAGCATCCCAGATCTACTAAAATATTGACAGCACTGAAAAGAAAAAATACTTAACCCTGTCAGACCCTACAGAGTAAGCATTCCCATTTCTATCTCATCCACTGTGTCTAATCCAGCAGATATTTTAATTGCATGCCTTTTAGAGTGAGGTCCGACAATAGACAGGATCAGAAGAAAAGGTGGTAGTACAAGTTTTTCCAGCAGTCCTCCAGCCAGCTTGTTGAACCTGGAGGCTGGAGACTTGAGTTCCCTTCCTGTGAAGGAAATAAAGGCTCCGGCTAGTACTTTCCTTTTCTATACAGTGTAAATCATCTTCAACAAAAGAGACCAAGAATCACTCCTGGCTCCCTTCCAGCAAAAACGTGGTATCCTCAGTGTGCCTGAATCACTCATCCTGTCTCATGTCAGACAGCAGAGGCTGTGCTTTGTGTTTTCCACACTTGTGCTAAGCACTGTAATCATGGTGTTGGATGAGTGGGAAGGATGAGGAACTGGCCCCTGCAGCACCAGTCAGTTGGTAACAGCCAGTTTACTCAGTCCTTTGATTTGTTTGAATAAACAAGGATCCACCTACATTACATAAATGGCCAGTTTCATTACTGCTGCTGGGCAGAAACAGGAAAAACACCTTTACCAAGATTTTCTAGGAAAGCATTGATAGGGACCCATCCTTGCCTTGCTTACACAGAACTGCTTCTTTCTGTAAAAGAAAAATTACTGTTTAACACCTTTTCACTGAATGAAGATATTTTCTGACCACACTTTTTGCAATACACTTCTCAGAAATAGTCATGTGCTTCAGAGGAGCTTTAAAGAACCAAATTGAGATCAGTAAGGCTGTGACTGGGTGCACATGTCCAACAGAGTAAATGTACTGCAGAGTTCAGGACTCTATCCAGACCGTTTTCAAGTAGAATCAACATTGGGTTTCATGCCTTAAAATTGTTGCCCTAATTTAGGACATTATGTCTTCTATAACACTTTCTGTGCTTGGTGGGCAATTAAAAGCAATACTTTGTATCTGCTGAGTGAAGCAGTAAGCAATTTGTATAGAGCCTTATGGTATGCATCTCTGGCATCAGCTACCATGCAGACTTTAGGGAATTTCTGAATATATTTCTTAGTAGTATCAATCATCCGCTGTCACCTAATGTCATTTTAACATAAGATCTAACCAAAAAAAAAAAAAAAAAAAAAAAATCCTATTTCTTTTGAGAATTACTGCCGGTAATATGTTTTGCATTTATGGGAGTAGGCAGGGTAAGACAGGTTCTTACTGGAAGAAGGAAGCAGCTCAGTGCCTCTCGGTCCCATGGATAGGTTGTGAATTACCTTTATTAAAAATTGCTGAAAAGGTGTCTTAACTGCTTCGACCGTTCTCTGTAATTTTAATTCGGAACATAGATTTAAGTGATGACTCTATCAAATAGACATTCAAAATTACATGATGTGAATTTTTAATTGACCAGGTTGTTAGAAAGGGGAATATTAAGGGGTTGATTTATATCCGCTTACCAAGCCAATACCGTAGAACAGGGTGGTTTACTGAATTTAGAATCTGGTAGTATGTAAAGACTCTCTTGCACACAATTATTTTAATTTTTGGAGTAGCAGATCCAATTGCAAATACTGTCATAGCTTTTTGAAACTCATATAAGAACATGATCAGTAATATTTGCTAGATATGTAGAGCTAAACTGGCATTTGTTACGAAGAGCTGAGGGTGCTGCTCGTATGGGATGTTTGTAATTTTAAAGCATTTGAGCCTTCCTAATCAAAAGGGATGATGCTGCAAAGACTTTGAGAATTAATTTCTAGGTTTAAAAAAAAAAAAGATGACAGACTCATACCGATCAAAGAATCTTAGCAGTTTCAACACCAAGAACATGAATGTTTGTCTTGATTCATGAGGGATTTCCTAAATTCCCTGGAAACCCAGCTTGAAAGCATAACTCCAGGCACAGTTTTGAACAACAAATTAGATCATGTAAATAGACTTATCCAATTTCAGTACTTACAGGGCCAATATCCTTACAATATCTGGGTGCTTTGTGATCCTTAATGTACTTAAATGAGTCACTAAATCGTTAAGACCACAATTCAAAGTGTTAGCAATTTATATAGAAAACTGAAGCAAGCTGATATAATAATTTTTCCATTATTTTACCGTGCTTTGCAGGTCCTAAAATGGTAGAATTCCACGGTCAGCAATTTCAGATCAACTCAAAGGACGGCAAGCCACTTTTTACAGTGGATGAAAATGAGGTTGTAATTGGCACAGATAAACTGCGAGTCACAGGTTTGTAACAGTTTAAGAAATGCCCAAATAATAGCCACAAGCAAAGCACAATAAAACTGGCATTTTTAAATATGTCATTGTGCATGAACACAAGATCTGGTTTTACCTCATTAGGAAACAAATATGAAGATGTTCTGACCTTTTTCAATAAATAATCAGTGAAAACTTTTAACAGCAAAATAATAATATGTGTATAGAAACATGTATATGTGTCTGTATGTGTGTATTTTATTTTAAAGCCATTAGTGACTGGAACTGTTCTCCTGCTTTTTTTTCTGAATTATTTCATGTTTCCAGTGCACACTGTTGACTGAGGCTGAAAAAATTCTAGATATTCCAGTGTTGAGTTGTATTGAGTTTTATTTGTGAAAACTTTTAGACCTTCTCTGATATTTTTATATGGTTTTATCTTTCAAAGTGAATGCCACTATGTTTGCTCTGCGTGTAGCACATATGTCACAGGATGGTATTTGTAGTAAATTTAAAATGTCATCTGTCAAAAGACAAGTTTATCTTAGGCTGTTTCTGCAAATCACCGAAGTACTCATTTGCAAAGTAAGATGTCGAAGTTATCACATGAAAAGCTATTTCCTTTCGTGTGTCCTGGTAAAGTCAGCCTTCATTTTCCAGGTGTAAGATTGCATTAAAACATATACATCAAGGTGTGATTTCTCTTTAAGTGGAAGAGTCCATCAAAGGAAATACTGAAGTTATCCTGTAACTTCTTTTCAATTACATTTTTAATATTTTAACCTGATTGCAACTATCATGTTTACCTTTTGCTAATTATTGGTCCTCTAAAATCTTGAGGTCTTAATTTGAATAGATATATTCATATTATTTCACTGTGCAAAACTACAAATGTGGTAGTAACTATACAATTAGTGTTTCAAAGCCAAAGTTAAGTTATAAGTGTGTTAATAAATTTTGTTTACGCCTGAGGGTCTTATCTTAAGTTTTTTACTTTTTAACCTAATTGAAATTACAACTTTGTTTAACCAGGAAACCATATCAAATAATTATTGTTTGCCCAAGGGATGCGAAACTTTAATAGAAAAGCATGTTTAACAAAGATATGAAAAACTGCATAATTGTTAACTGATTTGGAAAAGGTCTATCTCTGCTCAAAGTAAGTAAAAATCATTCACATACAAGTTGAAATTGTTATGCTAAAACATGTATTCTGACTCATCCAATATTAATTTTTACACTGCAAGGATAATTGTTTACTTTAGCAGATATTGTAGAAAGACACATTGCCTGTTTCTTTTTTACACTGTAGTACAATTCAGAAGCAAATCCATTAAAGTCAGTGAGGTTATTTCAGTGTAAAATGAATATAAGTGAGAGGAGATTCATGGCGACTTTGTTTCAAATTAATTTATTAAAATTGTGATTTAAATGATACTATTATCATGAAGGATAAATTAGTAATATTTTGCATACTGAGATAATTTTTTAAATATTTTACATGGATAACAAGATCAATGTGAAATAAATTTTGAAAAGTTCATACCATGAGAAACAGACTACTGCAGGCTTAAAATACACAAAGAACATTTTGCAGGTTTTTTATGTACATTATAGTGAACTATGATTTTACTTCTCCTTATTTATGTGAATTATGAAAAGCTCAGTAACAATTTGTAAGAAAACTGTGTTTTCAACTACAATATAAGATAGAAGAGAGCAAATGTCTGTGATTTATGGTATTTCAGGACAGATGAAAAAGTCTAAGAATAAGATAATCCAACCCAATACCTAAGGAATTGTCTTTTCCAACGATTTGTTATGTTTGACCTCATACTATTTCAGTCAGACATTTTCTGGGCCACATGGTAGAATAAAATAGCAGCAGACTCTCTCTGTTCTCCTAAGAACAAATGCCTGGGGAAAGCCATGATCAGCCAAGAGTCTCAGATACCCCACAGAGTCACGGACAGGTCTAGATGCCCATGTTCAGACAACTGGATTGAACCTCCAGTCTAACAGTCAATGCAGCGTAGAGTGTGAAGGTGACAAGTAGACCTGGCATGTGGAGAGCTGTTCTGCCAACCAAATGCAGTTGTCAACTTCAGGATGAGCTCAATGGCTTGCTCATCTCCCTTGAATATAGTGGCTGAGTTCAGATGCTAAAACATCAGCATCCAGCAATGTTTAAAACACCTTAGGGTGTGTGAGATGCCACATGTTATCACTTCATCCACAGGAGACACTTCCTTTGATCATGGCAGCTGGAGGCCAGGCAGGATGTATAAGGGTATTTTAGATGACAGTAGGTGCATATGATTAGGCAACTAGATTCTGCCTCTAGCTCATCTGTGACACCTACATCATAGATACTTAAGTGTATGAAACTGAAGCTCAGCTTAACCCTTCATGATAATTAATGCTGGGTGAAGGTGCGTGTACTCCAATTTACTCCAGTTACATACTCTTTAATATTATTTCAGTAATGACCTGCACCTTTTGCAGATATTTGTTATGCTGCTTTGGAGGTATCGAACATCAGCATTTCATTCTGGTAAGGTTTTGTACGTTCAGTTGCCATTGGTGACAGTGAAACCCACCCTGTAACAGTGTATTGGCTGGCAAAGAGCCAATTCCTTTATAGCTAACAATATTGTCATGGCAGAAGGAATGAAGTCACAGCAGTGGCTGGAAACAGAAGGGCTAGAGTCCATGGCCATAGGAGTCCTTTTTTCACTCCCTTGCCTACCCTGTAAACTTGCCAACTAAAGGCTGTCCATAGAAGGGAGAAAATAGGCTGAAGTAAATAAAATTGTATACAATAGAAAAATAATTATCATTCAGCAGACATAAAATGGTCTCAACTACTGCACAAAAAAAAACTCTTTAAGAAGTACAAATTATAGTTTATGTATCATAGCTGTTGTATCAGGTAATATTTGGATGAGTAGGTAAGAAATTAATAGAATGCAGTTGCTTACCCTCCAGCCTTCCTGAAAAAAAAGGTTAGCAAGGCAGAGGGGACCAGTATCTTTATGGAGAAGAATATTATGTCACCCTTTCTCCACTTTACTACTTGTCCTTCTGCTTGCTTGTCTTTCATAATCTCTCAAAGTATTTGCAAAGTGTTGTCAGTGATTTTCTAGTGCTCTGTTCTTTGGAAAGGTTTTCAGTTTGAGTAGCTAATGCTGAAGTGCAATGTGAAAATGTGTGTTTAACTTAAAGGCTTCCATTCAGAAGGTAAGTTAAGTAGGAGACAATTTGAGGGCATGAATAAACATTCTGTTAGACTTTGAAAAGGCAGATAGTCTTTGCTTGATAAGGTGGGGGGTGGTAATGAACCTTGTTGACTTCAGTCCTCTCATTAAGAAAATTAATATCTTGATCTTGTGTATTTTAGGATTAAATTACATTATATTAAAAAACCAATACTCTATAAAATATTAAATACAGTAATATTCATATCATAATTAATGTTATTTCTTTACAGTTTCAATTATAAAGTAGTAGACAGTGAAGAAAAGAAACCAATTCAGAGCCATTTTCCAAAAAAGTTTGCCCTGAGGTTTGGGGGTTTTTTAGTGTCCTACTGTTCAAACTTAATGCTCTTTGATGAAGCATTTTTTCTCAAAGGAAGGCAAGGTTTTATGCTGGCTTAGAGGTGACAGCTCTAGAATATGCAAAGAAGCCTTTTCATTCCCTCTTGCACCACCACCCCCCTCTCTAGAGCCTTAACACTGATGCTTCCCTTTGGCTTTCTTCCATTAGCTCCTATTTCCATGCAAGTAATATTGTCTCTGTTACCGCTTACCTGTCTTTATATAATCATAGAATAATTTAGGTTGGAAAAGACCCTTAAGATCATTGAGTCCAACCGTTAACCTAGCACTGACAAGTCCACCACTAAACCATGTCCCTAAGCACCATGTCTGTACATCTTTTAAATACTTTCAGGGATGGTGACTCAACCACTTCCATGGACAGCCTGTTCCAGTGCTTAACAATGCTTTCTGATATTTTCCTAATATCCTAATAATCTAAACCTCCCCTGGCACAACTTGAGGCTGTTTTCCTTGTCCTATCACTCATTATGTGGCAAAAGAGACCAACACCCACCTCGTTTTCAGAGCAGGGTGTCTGAGGGAGCAGGAGACCTAGGCTGATTTCTCTCCTTGGCCCAGGAGACTTTAGCCTCGCAGTCCTACCTTCCAGGAAAGTGCTCTGTAATGCCATACAATATGTTAGGTGCCCAGTGTGAGGGGACAGCTGGGAGCAAGCACTTTTGATGTCTGCCAGCAAAGTGAAGCCCTGCCTCTGGCTACATGCTGTCTCAGCTCATCCTCTTTCATGGTTCACTTTCAAAAAGGGCAGGAGAGGGTGAGATCCCCAGAGTTGTTCACTGCTAAGCATGGGCTCGGTCTCCTCCAGTGAGGAGGGAATGCTCCAATGACAATGCTGTTTGATAACAGCATTCAGGAGGATTACTCTTAATTAAAATTATGTACTTGATGGGGTTTAGTGCTGACTCGAATGCTCATGGCCGCATGGGCTGAGAAGTAGGAATACAACTGGGCTTCTCTGGGCAGTTTGTTCTTTCTGCTCTCTCTGCCTTGTTTTTGAGCCACAGTGGTGCTTAGACCAAGAGATCTGCCATCCTGGGCCAAGAGACAGGAGCAGATCCCTAAAACAAGGATCTGCTTTATTTCAAACAAGGCTTCAGCAAACATGATTACACTCAGGCCTCACAAATCTCTCTTCATATAGAAGTTCGCTCCCCTCCTCCAGTCAATTTTGTCAGGCTCCTCTTTCTGACATCTCTCCGTGCATATCTGGTCATCTTCAATGCAACAAGTCCAAACCTTGATAGAAGTGTAAAAGTTAGACTAGAAGAGGAATCTGATTTATCAGCTCATATCCCTTTCATAGAAGACAAGTAGGTCATACAATTTCTTTTATAATCTTATCCAGCTACACCTCAAATGCAAACAAACACTATTCATTTTTATATTACCAAATGTGAACTTCTGTGTAAAAGGTGCTGTAGTAATTGTATCGATTTCTAAAGATGACAGAGGAATTATATGAAAAGCAGGCAGAGCAGAGACTAGAGCTCTTCAGAGTATGCCCACACTGGTGATGTCTAATGTGGAGACAAAACTCACCATCTGAGTTTTAAACACACATCTTTTCCTTTTGAAGTCATTATTTGTTATTTTGTCAACGGTAGCAGATAATAGACTGTGTTCATGTAGTTAAACTACTAGGCTCCACTTACCTTTTGTTACTTTGATTATTCCTCCGATGGCTAGGTATGCCATTTCATGATTCTGTGAATAGCCATTAATGTTACTTTTGCAAAATATTAATGAAGGTGATTATTTCCTTCCCTAATCTTTCTAAGAATTGAAACTGTATGATTTATAGCAAGTGGACTAAGTAAGTAATGGGATTTTTACATGCAGACATAGCAGGAAAATTTATAAAAATGCAGACTTAAGACTTGATTTTTAATAGCAGTAAACCATTGTCATACCATTAGGTACCACAAAGCTGCTCCAGTATGCACTGGCCCTTTCAGTGCTTTCAATCCGAGGACTGTGTCTACAGTAATGACACTATAACATGCAAACAGTTAAGGTTCTTTAGTAGTGTGCCACTCAAAATACTTCACTGGAATAGAGGCTCTTCAAGGACAAGATGGAAAGGGAGGAGGGAGTTGCCGTTTATGTGCAAGAGCAGTGGGAATGCATGGTGCTTAGCCTTGGGATGGATGAGAAGCCAGCTGAGAGTTTATGGGTCAGGATTAGAGGGCAGATCAACATGGGCAACATTGTGGTCATTGTATACTGCAGACCACCGTATCGGGAAGCAGCAGACGAGGCCTTCTTCAGACAACTGGAAGACCAGGTGATAATTGATGTCTTTCTCCTCAGAGTAGCAGTGTTATCAAATGCTCAGCTTTTCTTATAGACCTGAAAACAAGATGGAAATGGATCTCATATCCAGAAACTGCAACAAGATTCTCACTATGTGACACTATTATTTAGATATCAAGAAATTGGAACAAAGTCAATTCTACCACTACGGCCATCATATGTAAGGATATGCAGCAGTGTAGCAAGGCATGACATTTCAAACTATACGGTTTCATACAATTGGCATTATAAGAAACTACGCAGCTTATCTAAGAACGAGAATTCCTTTTGTTGTATCTTCATTACCTCATCCCATGACACAATAGAGCTAAGCTGTTACTGAAAATTGCTGAAAAAATATTAAGTAGCAAACAGAAAATAAAAGGATTCCAAACCATACTCAAGTGAAAGAGCACACCATAGAACCTATGTTGGTGTAGGGGATACATGGATGAGTAAGTAAGAAAAAAGAATGGGAAAATAAAGGAAATTTAAAAATGCCTTCCACAGTCATTGAGCCAAAATGTGCATCCTCAACAGGATTTGTTCAGTCAGGACTGCAGTTTTGCTGCAGATCTGATGGTTCTGACAGTTCTCACGTCCCACTGGTTTATACCATAGAGGAGTCACGGAGTGTATACAATGAATTCCTTTTGGGTGAACTCAGAAATGGGCTCCAAGAATGCATTTACTTATTTAGATATTTTTAAGTCCACAGGATGAGACTAGAGTTGGTCCAAAGTAAAATCCCCTATATCTGTATAGTATGAGCGGCAGTTCTTTAGTACCAAATATATCACTTTATAAATCCACCCCTTTCAGGTCACATTACCTTCTAACACAGACATACCTAAAGACTTCCCAGAACTACAATTGGAAGACATTAAGATCAAGCTATCTCCCCTGATAAATCATGTGTTTGGACATCGTTCAAAGTTACTGACAAGATAAGGCTTTTGTTAGCACAGGTAGTGTTGTGACAGTATATATTTCACTGAAATTGCAACTCATTCACTATAATCCAAGATGAAAATCTGAGCGCAGAAAACAGTGAAATGCTTGCTTTGCCAAGAATTGTCAGGTGGAACATAATGGAATGAAGGACAGTGAAGGATCATGATATATTCTCAAAGCACCACAGTGTCAGAATAAGCACATTTGAGGCAGTCTCAGCTCAAAGGAAAACTTGAATTCATTTTCACCTCTAGCTGGCAAGTAAACTAAGTCACAGGTTTTGACCGATCAGCGTATCCCTGCAAAATATCTTAGTTGTAACAAATCAGCATTTTCTGACAAAGTTATTTAATTCCTTAAAGGTTATTTGTTTTTTTCACCATCTCCAATGTGTAAGGTTGCCACCTTGTAACACCCACCAGCACAAATACAAGAACAGGATAATAATTAACTATGTCCAGCCAGACATCAGGTTTTATCTTGGAAAATAATCTTAATGCTAATGAAGAAGGGTTAAAGTCCTGTCTGAAATAATGAATTTTATATTTTCCAGTTTTATTTTCAAGACAGTGAGCAGATTCCACAAAGACTCATCTATTTAAATTGATGATGAGGATCTCAACAGCTAAATAAAATCTAATAGGAGCTTAGAAATCCATGTTTCCTTGAAGTGCTGAAATTATTTAGTATGGTGATTCTTGTATTTTGTGCACTTCTCTTCCATCCAAGCTAAGGAGATTTCATTCTAAGGAATCATGGTTTCAGCTAGAGTTCTTTTCAAAAAGCAGCATGTTTCATGCTTTCTTAGGACATCCTGAGAACTTTCCCCCAGCCCTCATGAAGTGTCAGTCTTCCTATCACTTGGCTCAGCAATGTATTAATTTTTAATAGTATCTGTTGATTTTGCTTTTTTTCCTTTTACCATATTCTCTGTGGTTGCCCCTACTGATTTTTATTATCTTTTTCCCTTCGTACCACATCTAATACCACATCTATACTGTCTATACTATACTTTCTAGTCATCCATTTCCTCTTGTCTTTCCTTCCCTCTGCCTGATTCTACATGTACTTTTACTTTTTCATCCCAATCTCATCAAGTCTTCCAGATAGAAAATACAAATCCAGTTTTCTTTTGTTTACACAAATATTTGCAATTAATATGTTAACAATTATAATATTTAAACAAGCATGCACATGCATGCATGCATATTCACTAGCTCAAGGAGGGCCTTAAGAGGTTATTTCTCTAGATGGAGTCCAAAGCCCTGACTTAGGGCTCTCTACAGCCCAGAATTTTTTCCAGAGGATAACTGCATTCTGTTTTAATTCAGAGAGCAGCCAGAAAAGCCACATTGAGTAATATCCTAACCATTAAAATATATTGCCTCCTTGCTACATATTCACCTGAAAAGCGCTTAGTTGTGTGAATCCTCTAAGCCAGAGAAGTCCACTCAACTTAAGGCCTCCCCAGTTTTAGGTAAGTGCCTTCACAAAGCAAATGAACAGAAGGTGAGAGACTCCACCCTTTCTGCAGCTGGTGATGTTTAGCTGCTTTTTGGAGCCATCTCTGTTGCTAAGGTGCTTTTGTACTACTTCAGCTAGTTCCCTGATGCCAGTGAAGCTTAGGCAGGAGATGGTCACTGGTGATACTGCAATGATGCTAGTCCTCAGGAAAGCAGAAATGGAGGTGTTTGGAGAACTTTCAGGTCCAACAGGGAGGCTCCTGGTGAGGTTGGGTGCCTACTGTTTCTTCCTTGTTGGGATGAAACTACTCTTTTTTCAAGAGGTAAACTAGTTGATCCCATAGTCATTACCATTTTAAGCACATAAAAAATATTTTATATTCAGCAAGTCTGCCTAAAAATAGAAGGAAATCTTTGATGAACCTACATGCTAGAATTTGTGCTGTGTATAGAATAGTCTAAAATAAATATAGCTATTTATGTCTGTAATATTTGTTAAGATCTTGTGAGATTTTAATCATCTTTATTAACTTCCATTAAAGTTACATTGTAAAAATCTTATTTACTTATTTTGTTGTCCCAAGTAGTTTAAAATTTCTCTGTCTTCACACTTTTTAGATTTCATATTAAGAATTTGCACCTGTACTTTTACCTTACCTGTGTATCGTGTTGTTCCAATCAACACTGTTTAGTAGGACTGTAGCTGTATTTTAATTGTCTTATTAATTGTTAATATATGTTTTCTTATCTTAATTTCTGGTATCAAAGTGGCCATATAAATCACTGCCGCTATGTTTTCTTACGTTTGATCTTTTACAGTATGGTATTTTTCTTTTTTATGCAGGGCCTGAAGGAGCGCTTTTTGAACACTCTGTAGAAACACCACTTGTGAAGGCAGAAGCTTTTAAACAGCTTAGGTAAGAATTTATACATAAAAACATAAATCTAATAAGTAGACATTGTTTGCTATAGATGTTCATATTTTTCTGAACATGGGATTTTTCAACAGCATTTACAGAAGTACTAATTTTTTTTCTGTTTTATGTGACAAATTATTGTTTTGAAGGAAAATTATGCATTGTTCTACAGTTATGAAATGTATTATGAATTATTTACTGCTGATGGTGACTATTTAAAGCCACATAATATACTGAGGAAAGTTTTTCTGTAGACTATTTTTCACTTTTGAACCACTTAAGTATGACTTTTTCTACTATGTTACGATAGAAGTTGCTTGTCTGCAGCAGGTCATCGACCTATAATTAGTCAAGATTTTTAGAAACCAATATTAATCTGAGGAAACAGACCAATAAGAAAAATTTGGTGTGCAAAGCTCTGTATGACTAAAGAGCAGTTTGGGGTGAGAAAATCATTATAAAGTACTTTGTGTGTTTCAGAGCTGCTTAATTCTGGGATAGCATTTCTTTGTGCATTATTCTATGTAATTTTGAGTATCTCAAATTAGTTTGTAATATGGTGGTTATGATGAGGTAATAAACTCAAATTACCTTCTGTTCATGAACATGTTATGTTTCATTTTATAAGCCAGTTCAAAGAAAGATTTTAAATGAAAAAGGATATCTTTAACAATTACATTTCTGTCCTTTCATACCTTGGCAATTCACTACTTTCTGTTGTAATTTCACTTCTTAGTGTCTCTTCTCCAACAGGGATAACTATTAGAGAGTAGTGGAAGATGATTAAAGCTTTCAAGAACACTGCCTGTATCTTGGTGACTGAATTTTCAAATTGAGAATGGCAAATCAGAGGGAAACTATTAAGATACTTCTTTTAATTTTCTCCTTGATATTTAAGATTTACTTACAGTAAGGTACTTTGTGCTTGCATTTGAAGACAGAATGAACTCAAGACATTAGTTTTTACATGTTGATGTCCACTTTCAAAAATGTGTTTCTTCTACTGTGGTAGAATTTGGATCTGACAGAATTTGATCAATATGTAGGATTCTGCATTGCAATGAACATTGTCTGATTTTGTAGGGAGTTGATTCATTGTGTTGCAAATTTGTCGTTTCCTGTGGTTATCTCAATTTTGATAAAATAGAACATTGAATTTTGTAATTACAAAGTCAAGGAACTCTCTGCAAATTTTGATTGGATACATATCAATTATTTTCTGTGGTTGTTACTTTGCTTCAAATGCATCATCAATTAATAATATTTTAATAGTCTTAAAGCTAATAGTTTTATCCTACATCCATAATGCTACGTTACATTTTAAGTTCTTATCTGCACTTCATTTAAAAACAATTACACCGTTTCAGACTACATACAACTATTGTTATAAATTTTTCACCTGTTTTTCAAATAGGATATCATTTGAAGGAAAACATTGAGATTAATTTGAAGTGTTTGCAAAGTTCTCCTGCACTGTTAAGTTTACTTCATGGCTTATCTCTTTAGTAATTTTTACTGCGTCAACTATGAACACGTTTTGATCTAGAATGTTGCTGTGTGTTAACAGAGCTCAAGTACAATAGTTAAAATCTCATTCAGTTCTGTCTTCAGTTTACTTAAAGTAGTGGGAAGTACAGATTTTCCTAGAATTTACAGAAGTTCGCTAATAATTATCATAGAATCACGGAGAGGTTTGGGTTGGAAGGGACCTCAAAGACCACCTAGTTCCAAGCCTCTGCCGTTGGCAGGGACACCTTCCACCAGACCAGGTTGCTCAAAGCCCCATCCAGCCCAGCCTTGAACACTGCCAAGTAGGGGGCAGCCACAGATTCTCCAGGCAACCTGTGCCAGTGTCTCACCACCCTCATAGTGAAGAACTTCTTCCTAATATCTAATCTAAATCTCCCCTCTTTCAGTTTGAACCTGTTACCCCTCATCCTATCACTGCACTCCTGATCAAGAGTCCCTCCCTCCCTGTCCTGTAGGCCCCCTTTAAGTACTGGAAGGCCGCTACAAGGTCTCCCTGGAGCCTTCTCTTCTCCAGGCTGAACAACCCCAACTCTCTCAGCCTGTCCTCACAGGGGGGTGTGCTCTAGCCCCCTGATCATCTTTGTGGCCTCCTCTGGACCTCCTCAAGCAGCTCCACATCTTTCTTGTGCTGAGGGCCCCAGAGCTGGATGCAGTACTGCAGGTGGGGTCTCACCAGAATGTCAAGGAGTACCTACATCAACATTGGCACTTGCAACTGACCTTAGTATTTGACATAAATCCAGAGCTGCTAAACACTTGTGCTAGAAACTGAGTTTGCTTAACCCTAAGAAAAATTCTGAATATCAGGGCATGAAGCTGTGCAATGTATACACCACTCGCTCATGTCCTGGCAGTTGCTTACCCACAGCAGTTCAAAATGCCTTATTCCTGTATTTTATTTTATTTTTTACTGTCTTTACCACCGATAATCAGTGTCAAATCTGAAAGCAGAGATGACGGTGATTCCATGAAGTGCTTCTGGGGAGGATCAAGAAGCAAATACATTTGTCTGCAGTGCAGATGCTAAGTTAAGGTGTAGGCAGAGAAGACAAATTTACAAAGCTCACTGGAAAAAGGGTAATCTTAAACATTGGTGTAAACAAAAGTCATGCATTCCATTGTGAAGGAGCTCAGACAAGTTTACCAAAGAATGGGTATTTTGTAGTGTTTTATAAATACTCTGTTTCATTTTACATTGTTAAATACAAGAATCTACCTACTGAAAAGCACTTCAATATGAAAATTTAAAATGCAATTTTAAGTATTACTTTCCTATTTTAAATTTTAATATGCTTCCTTTCCAGATTAAGGTAGTAGGTACTAAGTTATAGGTAATATAGCCTATTTGCTCATTTCAAGCCTTATCTCCACAATTTCACCATCTATTAATCTTCTGCTATTTTTCCTCTATTTTTTCCTTCAATGGTTTTGCTGTGCCATGTGAGTGTGATACGCTGGATGAATGTGATAAAAAGTACCTCAATATGCAGTATTTAATATAGGGAATACTGCTTCAAGAAAACCCATCCACTTAAAATGTAGTTGCATGTTTCAAGGAGCTGACTGGAAAGCTGTTAATGCTCATAACTTTTCAGCTTGTGTCATATAAAAGGGGCCACATTCATTCTCTGTCATTCAGATTTAGGGTAGGTCACAAACAAAGCTGACACAAATGGCCTTCTGAATTACACATTCTGCTGGCTTTCCTGTCAAATGCTGGCTTTCAAGATAGACTGCTTTTCTGGAAACAAAGAGATAAGTGTGTTAGAGCATATCTTTTTATAGCTAAGTAATGGAGACAGAGCAATGCAATTATACTGTGGTCAGTAACAGTCTTTTCATTCTGTAATTTGAAGGAAACATATAGAGTCCTTCTCAGTCTAATAGATTGAATTCATGACTCACCCATAAAGAAATGGAGATGCGCTTGCACTTACTTCCAACTGGTAGGAAGAACTATAACAACAAAATCTACATTTCAAAATTGAAGCTTTCCTAGGTTTAAAGAAACATTGCCTACTTTTTAATTCCTTTCCTGAAGTTCTTAGATCTAAATAAGATACCTAGTTTCCATTTGCAAAATTTGTTAAGACTTTAGAACCTAGTGGAGACCTAAAAACACAGTCTTGCACGTAATAAGTGTCCAACAGACATCTCAACGTCGTGTTTACAGTCAATGGGAAGATTTGGAGAAAACCAGGAAATACCTTCCACAGAGAAACATCACTGAGAAGGTACCTGGTTAAAATTAGCCAACTGTAATTAGTCAGAACAGAAATACGTCTCTCCACAGTTCAGTTGCCTGATATAGTAAAGTGCCTACACAGCTTCCAGGTGCAGGAGTGCTTCATTGACAGCAAGCACCCATCTACTGGGTTGCATGTCCTCTCCTTTGGCGGAACCTGTTCTTCTGTATGGTTGTGGCACCACAGGAGAGCAAGCAAGAAGAAGCACAAGTTGTTCTTGTTTGTAGGGCATTCAGCCAAGAGTCGTAGGAGACCAGGGGTTTTCAGTTATGATTTAAAAACCAATCCTGGAAGAACCGCCAGATGAATGTCCTGACCACTAGGTTACGTCCCCTTTATTTGCTGTTTCTTGCCAGATTACTTGGTTGGGCAAAGACTGACTTTCAGCGCAGGGATTGCCACAATCCAGCTCTTTACTATTTTGTAGTTTGGTAAACAGAGGTAACAGATACAGGTTTCATTCCCTTCAAGATGAGGAGGGAACTGAACTGATGCTTCGTAATTTCTTGCTGAATAGCAAGATCAATAGTATTGTATTATATGTGATATAGCATTATACATATTATAATATCTATTATAATGTATATTTTATATATTCTTTAGAATATTATAAAAAGTTGGAAAGTATTACCTCTTCCATGGTTATCCATGAAAGTGGCCACAGCCCTTGTACTTTGGTATGTATTTGGCATGTTGAGAGCTCACCTCAATCAAGTCTTCTGGGGCTTCCATAGAATTAACTGCCATCTCCGACTGGATCACAGCAAAGTTAATGGAAAATGGGTACCTTGCTTTCCAAAAGAAGGAATTTAAACAGGATTATAGAAGCTCATGTGCAGACATCTATCTTGTGACCCAAAATGTAGGTAGGAAATATATAATAGCAACTAATGGAACTAGCTTCTGTAGACAGAAACATTTATAGCAATTCCCTAAAAGCCAGCTTTTGCCCCGGTTCCATGCTATGTACTGGAAGTAGCCTCTTATGGTACAATCCAGTTTCATGCCAGCACACATACCGTTTTATAACCCCAAGTAACAATCTCTATGTGAAAACTAGTGTCTCAGTTCAGATGTTTTCCATCTGATGCTAACATATTTTCCTGTTAATTTATAGCACTTTCGACTATTATTTAGCATATTATTCTATTCCTCCTATATTTTATATCCTTGAATAACACATAACTCATACATAGTTTTGTCATAGAATCATAGAATGTATTG